AAGAAATAGGAGTAGAAGAGTGCTGACGAAAGCCAAAGTAACAAATTGCCTAAAAACATGAAGGAATGAGAAAAGAAGAACGAGAAAAAGATTAAAAGGAAACGAAAAGAAAATGATAAATAATGCCGATGCACTTTTTATATAATGATGTCATATGTCCCGGAAGATTAGGAATCTGCGCTACCTGCCATTTCTTAACGTTTGTGGTGGAAGATTCGGTGTCTTCAACCCTTGTCATTTAGTATTGTATGCTATTTACAAGGGTATACCGGATATGTGTTTGTGATATCATCTACAAGCTGGAACGTGTGTCGTTATCATGATTCCGGACACTGCAATTATACCACAAAGTTAGGAATTTATCATTTCGCCAAGATGGTTGCGCTTTGAAGGTCTTAATACGGGAGGGAATTGGAGAACCAAGCGAAAACCCACGTAGTCGGGTAGGTGACCCAACACACGTACTCTGTCTGAAAGGCAAGTGCGTCACGAACTGCGCAACCCGACCACCTATAAACCTAACATAAATTTAAGTAATACTTAAATGTGAAGCCTGTATTGTATAATATTTCTCGGAATCGTGTAGTATAACGTGTACACGGATGTGGTTTTCATTCATATTTGGTAGCTTGACTAATTCAACCCCCACCCGGATCTAGGTTCTCCGTTAACTATTTTTTATTCAGTTGTATTAGTATTGGATATTTATGTGGGTGTATGCTACAACTGTACGCTCCAAGTGGTGTTCCGTCTGCAGCTTCAATGTAACAGATAGTCAGTAGTGACCCACACAAATTATAGAAAACTGAAGACAGTAATCAAGTTCTATAAATATATATTACGTTTCACTTAGGCTTCGCCCTCGTGCAACATGAGTAACCTCGGAGAAAAATTAATATACAATAATAATTCGAGGTTCTTATATATACCGCTTTATCACAACATAGTTCGTAGGTCGTCTCAAAGCGGTTTACAAATTATTATCCGTGTGGTTATAGGGCCTTTGCAACCAGCCAATATCTTTCTCAACTCCCTGGGGAGCAATAGCCATTTACAGCTGAGTAGACTGGAACAAGCAGAGTAAAATATCTTGTTCAAAGATATATATCAACACAGTGTCGTGACGTGACTCGAGCCCGCAACCCTTTGGTCACGAGCCCGACGTCCTACCACTAGACTACCGTGCCTCACAGAAACAATAAATTATATTCGAAGGGTTACAATATAGTGGTTGACGTTATTGCATCTGCACCCACTTGCGTGACCGGGTTATACTAGTGGGTATGGTTTCAAAAGTGTTTGTTACAAGAAGCCTGATCGTTATCATATATGCAAACTGCTACGAAAAAGGCTTCGCTATAATCATCGCTCTATCCTACTGTGAACAGTGTCATCTTAGCAGCAATTTTATTTCTGCGAAAAGAAGATTCCAAAATTCAAAACGACAATAAATATTACCAGACACATAACAATAAACGACAAGAATTTTGAAATTTTAAACTCAACACCGTGCAATTTCGATTGTTAAACACACAAACTCAAAAACAAATGTTTCATGATAATTATGTTTTTTTTTTATATTTTCCAAACGGCATATATTGAAAAATAGGTTGGATAACGAGACCATGTTCTTAAAAATTGTTAAGAAAACGGGTACAACTGCGACTCAAAGTTTTTTCTTAAAGTTCTCTCCCTGTTGCATAACAAGTGGAACGAAAAAAGATCTGGTTTAGAGTAACTTCCCTTTTTAACGTATAGTTAGCAAAATGGAAAATGTGAAGGATAAACATTTTATTAGATCATTGCTATTCTAACCGTTTCTCTGAACAGATCAAGGTACCTGTGAGTGTGTGTGCGTCAGTGCTTTGTAGCACTTTGTAGCACAGGGACCTAATAATTTGCTACAGCTATATTTGGATCTAAACTAAGGTTTTCAGAGTAATTTTATGTTTTAGTGGTTTAGATCAGCTTGTCGGTAAAAATGACAATCATTGGGAGTGTCATTTTTACCGAAAGTCGATCTTACAACATGTGTAGAAATACTCTGAACACCTTAATTTAGGTCCAAATATAGCTGTAACAAATTGTCAGGTCCCTGTGCTTAGTAGTTCATAAATTTGGATCCAGATATCATTAATCTTTAAATTTTAAATTTTATAGAAGTGTCATGTATATCCAGCCGGCTAGTGCACGTATAACCATTTAATGGAAGATAGCTTTTAAGCATGACGTGTATCAGTACGTTTGACAGTAAATATCTCGAAAAAAAATTATTGATGTATTCCGAAATGGGTGAAAGTCGAAAGCGAACGAAATTTGGTGGTATAAAGGCCATAAATTAGAAGAAGTTGGCACTTTTAATTATTTAGGTGTGCTACTTTATTTTAACGGGAATTTCACATGTACTCAAAAACAAATTGCTGACCAAGGGAGATAAGCAATGTTTGCAATTGTTAAAGTTTATAAAAATAACTATTTTAATATATAGAAACGCAGTTAGCTGTGTATTAACACGTATGTAAATAGTGTACTTAGTTACGGGCGGAAGTACATGGCGCATCCTGTAGCAAGTACCGGATATAGAACAGTTACGTGTAATTTTTTGCAAGCGTATATTGGGGTTACATAGTTAGGCAAGTAATCATATGGCATATTGGTCGTGGATTTCGCATTTTCAAATATTGGATAAAATCAAGAAGTTCTGAAACCTGTATTCTAAAAATTATGCTCTTCTGAGATGCGATGTAACATGCAGAATCGGTATTGGTTGTGTGTGGAAAGCCCCGAGTCTAAATTATTGATATTTTTTTAATTTTTTTTTAATTGAGGAACGCATTTGTAATATATTCAAACAAGAATGTTTGAAAAAATAACATCTTCTGCAAAAGGTGCACCGTATCAACTATTTGTAATTTTGGACTACAGTTTTATTTGGTCAAATCTATCAATGTTAATTCTGGAAAACATGTTTGTGAAATAAGATTATCAGCACACAAATTAAATATTGAATGTGGCAGGTATACTATTATCGAAAGAGGCAACAGAGCGTGTTCATTATGTAATATGAATGAGGTAGAAGATGAATCTCATTTCATTATGAAATGTACTTGTTATGCTGACATAAGATCTAAATTCATCAAAGACGTTATGTAAATCGTACTAGCATGTTTAAATTTATCCAACTGCTAAACAGTAAGAGTTTATCAGAAATCAGAAATTTTGGTCAAATATCCAGTGCATGCGAACAAGAAAGGTCTCAACTTCTTTAATTAGTGGTTACTGTTCACTATAATGTACAAATATAATAAATAGATATATTATGTGTGCACGGATGTATATTGTATTGTACTGTATATATGTTGTAACTGATGAGCCGGAAGACTTAAAGTAATGATAAACGTGTACGTACATACACCCGATGGCGTACGTGCAGCCGATGGCGTAATACTAATAATAAACATATTTTTTAACGTCATGTACAATTGTCAACAACAAACATAAGCTCTGTAGAGCTTTAATTTCGACGCCGCTAAGGGAACAAATGGTGTTTCGTGGTGGAGGAAAACCCACGGGGGGAAAACCACCGTGCCATCGGAGGGATAACAACTAACCCTATCAGACATCACTCTCTTTTTTCCACCACCGCTGGGGATCGAACCGAAACTCTTGGGAGAGCGAGTGGTCTGAATATCACGCTTGATAGCACACAGTACTTGCACCCGAGGGCGTACACACGCCTAAAGGCTAAGGTAAATATACATAATTGGTAACGCAATAAAAAATGTTTATTTCAAAGAGTTCATAAAAAACTGAGCATACAATGATTAATTCATGAAGTTTATTATCATATAAACATTTAAAGTTAATTAATCACGTGACATCATTGACTAATAAACACCCTCGATTTCAAATCATATTTTTGACAAGTTTCAGTAAAAGTGTTTTGAAAGACTGAAGAAGTGGTCCTTGTCTTCTACTGATTCTTTAACCAATTTTTGAAACAATTAAAAAAGTAATGTTTAAAAGTGAAACAATTAAAAAAGTAATGTTTAAAAGTGAAACAATTAAAAAAGTTTTGTTTAAAAGTGAAACAATTAAAAAAGTGATGTGTAATAGTGAAAGTGTCATACGATGTCTTCGCATAGTGACATTTAAAAATACATTTCTTTCATTTTTTGAAGAAAAAATATTTATATGTTTTCTTTTTGTTATATTTAGAAAGTTGGTGTTGCACGATGTTGTTTCTTATAATTTGAAAGATAATTACAATTCAATTTGAGACAGAAAATAAGATAACTAATTATATTTAGAAATAAAATATCATATATGTTATTATTCTAATATAACATACAAGTGAATTTAAAATATACATATATCTTGTTACTGTGTGAACATGTACCTGCATTCAGTCTCAGACAAAGGACAGCTAAATTTGCTTACCTGGTCGGGTACGGCCTAAGTCTGAAAGGCCGATTGCTATGAATGACAGATGTCACTCAAACTAATTACTTAATTAATTGCTTTTGTGTAAATGTACTTAGGACACGATTCTCATTTGTAACTTCAGTTAGTAGCTTGGCATCGGACTGTTCGGGTGTGAAAGTTATTCTTATAAATTTATATTTGGACCATACCACATCTCCAGAACTTTTACTTTTTTTAAATTGTATAACAATACCCCACAAAAGTGTTGTTTTATACAGATGGACAAGCCTATTATTGGCATGAAAAAACCCAGAATTTTACAATTCAAATATTATTTCTAATGCTTCTTTCAAAAAAGTAAACATTTTAATAATAACAGTATGACAGTCTAATACGAAGAATCCGGAATCCGGCTTCCCTTTTTCTATTATGCAGATACAACACGAGGAAAAACCGACGGGAATTCCCCTTAGTATTTTTGGAACCGTCTGCCATTTGCACTGTTTCGTTCATGGGTAGGTAATTTCTGTATTTCTTGGTATTGTAATAATTTCGTAAAATCGTATCATACTAAATTCATCAATTAAGTTTATTCTATTAACCAATTTAACATTGTGTATCCACGAAATGGCGTGTTTCATTCTGTCGTATATGTGATTACTTCTACAGGAAGTTGACAAGGACGTATAAAAAGTTCAAATATAGAGATATGAAAATGATCCGAGAGGGGTTTTTACCACTTTAAACTTCCGTCTTTAAATTAGGCACTTAAACTTAGATAAACAGTAGTAAATAGTCCACGTCAATAGTCAAAATTTGAAAAAGCTATCTCCCGTCTTATGCGTAGCGTGTGCAAAGTAACATTTAAAATTACGTTTACTAATATCCAAATTGATCAACCGAACCTCACACCTGCCAATCATGATCACGGGACTTAGGCCTAGCCTGTGTTTATAATTGTAACGCGAAAATCATTGACGACATCGAAATTTATGTGTGTGAATGTATCATTCATAAAGTGTATTGTTCCTACTTGCTTATTACCAGAGTTCACCACTAGATCTAGCTATATACGTAGTAAAATGCTATTTATAACACTTTGTTCACATGTGTAACGCTACGCAGATAGCTTTAAGCTGAATCACGTCTCGGAACACCCACTTATCTTTAGAGGTGAAACTTCAGTTTTCTGGTTGAATATTTGTTATAAGTCGTGTAATTTAAGTGTTAACTGATTGTTCGTCCTCTTTGATACCCATTCGACTCTCATAGTACCGTTTGTCCACCAATTTGGAGTTTTTGAAGGTAAATATACGAACAGTGTTTACGATAAATAACGTATGCCGTATGGTACGATACATACTGTCAGTAAGGATGGGCTCTATTACAAAGAAAGTACATACGTGTAGTCCATTGAAGTTTTATTTTGCGTTACAATATGAATCACCCCATTTCTTACTGTAGATGTAAACTTTCAATTATAAAACTCACAATCTGTTAATAATGTGATAAGTATAAACTTATTATTTCCTCTTTTACTATATACAAGGCCATGACGTATTTTTTTGTATTTTACAACTATATAATTATATTATGTATCATAATTTCTATTTTTGGTGATTTATAATGAAATCTTGAATTCACTAAAATATTTGAAAATAATTTGAATAGCGGTTGATATTTGATACCTACATATGACAGGAGAAGGCGGTGATAAGTTGTAATAACTTTAGCCCAATCCATTGTTCAATTTTAATTGGCAATTAAATATGTTTAAAGTAAAACCTACATATGGATTAAAATACCTTTTGGTTGAATCCTTGAATCGATTTTCTTTTGGGACTAAGGCAAGGCTACAACGAAGTACTATAATTATGAATGTATACTATATCGTCAATATTGTATTTAGTAGATTTATGATTTTAATGCTGGTAGCTTGTTAGAAAAATATGTTTCTGAGAGGCTCCCATTCAAGGACCATGTGCTTGTAAGGCAATTTATTACTGAAAAAGAAATAAGATATTTTCGATATCGTGTAGAAAAAGAAATGATTCAAGGATGGAAAAAAATGAAAGTATGATGACTGATTGCGTAAAATTAAGTAAAAGACACGAAAGAGAGAAAGAAATTGTGTAAAAAAAAAAAGAAATAGAAAGAAGGAAAAAATGAAAGAGAAAGAAACAGAGAAACAGAAAGTAGAAAGAAAGGAAAGAAAGTTGGGAGATACATTTTGTAAAAGGAAGAAAGAAAGAGAAAGAAAGAAAGAAAAAAAGAAAAAAAAGAAAGATGAATTTCGTAAAAAAACAACACCGAGAAATAGAGAACAGAGTTGTGATTTCTTTAAAGCACACGTGTTATCAGTGGTTAACGATATATAAGATAAGTGCTTATCAAGACTTAGGGTGGGGAGACCAAAGGAACAAGGAAATATAACTTTTCCTTTCGTTTGTTTAGTTGCTTTTATGTAAAAAAAAAATAGAGACCATTTTCAAACCGATTTGAGACTAACATATTCAGTTTACGTGGGAGGGGCACTAAGTGATATTATATATTGTGCCTGTATCGGGTTATTTACTCAATACTTACACGTATAATATTATCACAGTACTGGGGGCATAACACGGGCGTACGACCTGACAACAACAAATATAGGAGGGTGCTTATCGAGGAATAACGACCTGTGTCACCTATGTAACAATAGTACTAATCCCGTTATCCGGGTTCAGAACTAAAGATAAATACATGTTCTAAACTCACTGTCACAGTGTGTAAGATGTTAATTTGATATCAAATATTTTATATCTCTATTTTATCGATGTACGATGGCAGAAAGTAGAATTGATCAGTAAACTAAAATAAAAAGTTTCAGGATGGAATCATGAAATTAAACGTATATATATTTAAGACGAAATGAATTTATTTTGCTTCAGGTAACCTTACCTCCCCTTATTTTAGCGCCTACTCTATGACCTTTTTTAGACAATTTTGAAATAAAAACTTAAAAGTCAAGATCGCTCCCCTATATAATTAAACCATAAACAATTATTTTGATAAAGAACCTACCCTAACCGTTTCAAATGTGTTACAGGAAACGCACGTATTTTTTTCTTAGTTTGGCCTAATGCAACATGAAATGGCATTAGGAACTGAACTCTTTGGTCCTTCTTCATTAAAACACGTAAGATATGTAAATTACGCATTATAAAATGTTTTCATTAAATTCTGCATCCTGCTTTATTTACATGCGTGTCAGAATTTAAAAAGCTAATAATAACCTACCGACCCGGCCGATAGTTTTATATGTCACAGTGTACATGGAGCAAGCACATTGTGTTGCCCGAAGGGACTTGAAGTCCGGCGTTTTTCGTTTATTTTTATTTTTATTTTTTTTATTAAATATTTATTTTACTGGTGAGTATCTAGTGTATTTCAACCTTTGGAATATAGTTTATTTCACTGTGGCGTTGCATTAGTTTAATGTAAAATGTCTTGTTTTTGTGATAATGTCAAAGTGTTCATCCATGCTTGTGTATTTGAATTAACTGAAATCTGCACTGAGTTATGAAAACATAATTCAGGTGTGACGTCATTGCAACTGTGGCGTCATAATCGTAACGTTGACGATAGCTCTATTTATTAAAAAAAAAAAAAATCCGCGTATTTGAAAAACAAATGCCAATTGTAACTTATCAATCGGTCACTATCAAAATAAGGGAAAATTTCAATTAAAGTATTAAACTGCATTCTGAGTATTAGTCAATTAGCCCTAAACAGGAATTTACTACTGCGCATCTGGTGCACGTAATGATGAATGTTTGAACGATACTGCGCTGCATACATGGACCATCATAAATGTAAAAAATATGCATTTCAGTCTTGATATCTACGACTAAAACGGCATAGATAATATGAATTTATCGTTCTCCGTATAGTCTTATTCGGTTCAAAATACATTGTAAATCATATGTTTTTTTAACGAATGGCAGAACAGCCATTTTTTGCGTGAACAAGATCGTGCTGTCTGTGGTTGCCTGCAGCTGTTCTTTCAAGTGGCAGACTTCAAAAGGAAATTATTCGGGAATTTCCGTCATATTTTGAATTTGACTTCACGTCATGATTGGTCCCCGATTACTCAAACAGTTTGACGGAAAGATCCGATCAGTTTCCAAATGGAAAAAATATTAACGTGTAATGGTTCTTGCTGTTATAAGTTAAAACAATGTTTTTGGTTGGTAGGTTTATGTAAGGAGTGTAGAAGAAGTTAATATATATTCATAACGCACAAAATTCCACATGTCCGAAATTAAATTCAAAATTACAGGACTACAATACTGAACAGAATGTATTAAATGATAAGAAGTATTACGTGTAGGTGGATGCGCCTACTAACCTGCGTTATAGGTAGGTACGCGGTTTGCTGTATTCACCGATTAAAGGCATGGAAGTTTAAGAAGCCAGTACGATTCGTTTTCAAAATGTTTGTTTTTGTTTGTTTGTGCTTTACGTCCTGTTAACAGCTAGAATCATTTAAGGACGACACGAGATCCATTTACAGTATGTCTGTTAAGACCTATCTTGATGAGTTTAGATCAATATCTACCACCTACATCGCGCACTAAACATCTAGGTCTGAAAATACTCCCTCGTCCTCGGAACTCCTGGGGTAACGCTCAATTAAGCTCTCCACACCCCTTGAATATGTCATAACAAAATCAAAGGCTCAGTATACACCATCTGGTGGATGAGACGAGAAGACTGGTTTTATTCTTTGATGTACATCGAAAGAATCCCGCGGTCGCGTAACGGTAAAATTGACTGGCTTTGAACTAGCTAGTGTTGCCTTCAGTTTTGCTTTGACTTACTCAAGAGATGAAGAGAGCGATAGTAAGCGTAACACCTGGAGTACGAGGATAATACTCACTGCACATCAGAAAAAGGGCGATAACATATGATGAAAATCATTTTCTCTTTATGACCATTATTTTCTTTTCATAAGGGAGGAACTACCTGATGATGGGACCTTTGCGTTGAGATATGCCCCAAGGACATTCCCCAGGCTCATGGTACGGCTTGCCCCTAACTCTCTACCTCCTTGTTATTTGGTGCAAGATGGACCGCCGGTCGCAAGCCGAGGAATTGTACTCCGAACTCCGATGTTCCGATAACGGCGATGAGAGCAATGGAGACAAACTGCAACAGACAAAACAGCACATCCAACAGCATCTGTACCACGTCAAACCGAACGACAGATTCCGGTATCAGGAATTCGCCTCCATTATCAATGAGAGTGCGGCTATGCCATACTTCAGTCCGGTCAAGGCATCAACGGCGTTCCAGAACCTGGAGTTATACCTTATACTCATCTTAAACAGTCCATGGAAACCCGAGTATAAAACTGTCAGGGTAAGATATATGTACACACTGTCAGGGTAAGATATATGTACAAACTGTCAGGGTAAGATATATATGTAGAAACTGCCAGGGTAAGAAATATGTACAAACTGTTTGTGTAAGATATACGTTCAAGCTGTTTGTGTAAGATATACGTTCAAGCTGTTTGTGTAAGATAAGATACAAACTATCTGGGCATGATAAAAATATAAACTGGGGTTAAGATAAAAATACAAACTGACGGTAAGATAAAATACAAACTAAGGGCATGATTAAAATACAAACTGAGTGTTAGATAAAAATACAAACTGAGGGTAAGATAAAAATACAAACTGAGGGTAAGATAAAAATACAAACTGAGGATGATATAAAATACAAACTGAGGGAATTATCTAAATTCAATCTGAGGGTAAGATAAAATTCAAACTGAGGGCATTATCTAAATACAAACTGAGGGTAAGTACAAACTGTAGGGCTAAGATTAAAATACAGGCTGAGGGGGCATGATAATAAACAAATTTGAGGTTAATATAAAATATCGATTGTGAGGGTAAGATAAGATTAATAGAGTCAAATATGGAGGAATGAATATGTTAACTCTACCGGAGGATTTATAATTCGGGTCAGAACTGAGGCTTTGCCAGTTTTGAGCCCAAATCCAACACACACGGATATAATTTCCCTGTTACAATAACCACATCATAATTGACTTTTATCCTCATCGTTTACTTTTTGAGTTGTGTAAGAACTAACAAGAACTAACAACAGCATTGAGTTAAGCCTATAAATTCGGCATCGCATTACGTACAAGACAGGGTCAACAAGGTCAGATAAAAAAAAATCAGTAGCCCCTCGAAGTGATGGTAAATCTCAGTGGCGGATTCAGAGGGTTTTTTTGGTCTTCAAGAACCCACTCCCCTGATACTTTTCTTTAAAAATCACGCATTTTTACAAATTTCCTCAATGTTTCCCCACATGAAATTTGGACCTAGCCCCCGATAGGTCTCCTGATCCGCCACTGATTCTCAACTCTCCAGGAAAGATGTTCAAGTTGCTAAACACTCCAAAGTCTCTAGTCTCACCAAAAAAAGGATTGAAAAATTCTGCAAGTCCTAGTTGGGTGTTCCGCATGAGATCCGTGTATTTTGCATATACACTGTAGGGTAAGATCGTGTAAGATGCAAACTATCCGCGTCTGTAAGATACATATTGTTGGTTATACTTATATACACACTGTCAGTGCAAGAGAAGATACAAACTGTCAGGATGGGTAAGATATATATTGTTGGTATATAATACAAACTTTCAGTGTAAGATAAGACACAAACTGTCGGCGTAAGATAAGATACAACTTGACGGTGTAAGATAAGATAAAAACTTTCTGTGTGAGATAAGATACAAACTGTCTGTGTGAGATAAGATACAACCTGTCAATGTAAGATAAGATACAACCTGTCAGTGTAAGATAAAATACAAACTTTCAGTGTAAGATAGATACAAACTGTCAATGTAAGATAAAATACAAACTTTCAGTGTAAGATAAGATTCAATCTGTCGGTATAAGATAAAATACAAACTGTCAATGTAAGATAAAATACAAACTTTCAGTGTAAGATAAGACACAAACTGTCGGTGTATGATAAGATAAAAGCTATCAGTGTAAGATAAAATACAAACTGTCAATGTAAGATAAAATACAAACTTTCAGTGTAAGATTCAATCTGTCAGTATAAGATAAGGCACAAACTATAAGTGAAAGATAAGGTGCACAATGTCAATGCAAGATATGATACAAACTTTAAGGGTCGGTAAGATACAAATTGTTAGTATAAGATACTTACTGTCAGTTTAAGATAAGATACAACCTGTCAGTGTAAGATAAAATAAAAGATGTCAGTGTAAGATAAGATACAAACTGTCAGTTTAATATAAGATAAAAGATGTCAGTGTAAGATAAGATAAAAGCTGTTAATGTTAGATAAGACACAAACTGTCAATGTAAGATAAGATATAAGCTGTCAGTATAAGAGAAGATAAAAGATGTCAGTGTAAGATAAGATACAAACTGTCAGTTTAATATAAGATAAAAGATGTCAGTGTAAGATAAGATACAACCTGTCAGTGTAAGATAAGATACAAACTGTCAGTGTAAGATAAGATAAAAGCTGTCGGTGTTAGATAAGATACAAACTGTCAGTTTAATATAAGATAAAAGATGTCAGTGTAAGATATGATACAAACTGTCAGTGTAAGATAAGATGCAAACTGTCAGTGTAAGATAAGATAAAAGCTGTCGGTGTTAGATAAGATACAAACTGTCAGTGTAAGAAAAGGTACAGACTGTCAAGGTCGGTAAGATATATAATACAAACTGTCAGTTTAAGATAAGATGCAAGCTGTCAGGGTCAGTAAGATATAAATTGTTGCTATAAGATATAAACGTCAGTGAATGATAAGATGCCGTTAGTGTAAAATATGAAACAAATGTCTGGTTAAGATACAAATTGTAAGCATAAGAGAAGATAAATATTACCAGAGTGAGATACGATTCAAAATGTCGTTGAATTTTAACTATGACTAGTCAGAAATACAAATTTTCAGTTGATTTGAGCTTCTTTTTATGCTATTTTTTTGTTTATTTTCAGAAATACTCTGGATTTTTCCAAAGCAAAATAGAAGCCCATCTGCAGAATGCAGCAACTGTTTTCAAACTTGTTGGTTATTCAGAAACAAAAGATGGTGTATTAACTTTAATTAGACGGATAAATAAGGATGTGATTCTGGCAGTAGCATTTGAGTGTTTGGTGGCTGCCGAGGAATGTTTTATAATTAATGGCGCTCACGAATCCGGTGATCCACGAGTAAGTTACGCGCACGTTGTGAGAGTGAGAGTAAGTCATTCAGGCAACGCTGAACAATTAGCTGAGCTCGTGCGTAAAGACCTGCCGTATAACTCCGACCACATGGTGAAAGACCGGCGAGGAGAGCTAGACATGTTTACCGATACGCCAGCGGCTAGTAACTCAAAACATCACAATCTCGATAAAACATTGCACGGTGGTGTCAACATACCATACGCGGATGACGACGCAGCAGACCGTCCCGATCTGCGCGAAGCCACATTTGAAGAACACTGCATGGCCAGTCTTCGGCTCCTCCAGGAAGACGTGGCCATTCCCAAAGCTAAACCGATCCAGCTTCCCAAAGGCGGATCAGAGGAATGGTCGTTTGTCCGTGATGGTCTTCAGAACAAATTCGGAGAGGATTACTACAAAGGTCAAAGAGGGGATGTACTCCAAGGGGATGAAATGGTTGATAGAGACGTGGACGAAAAGGTAATGAGACCAGTCATGCAGCCTCCTCGACCCCACGGGCCAAGTTACCGAGACTCCGGGTACCAGGGCAGTTACGCGCAACCAATATATTACCCCCCAACTGCAGATACTGGGTACGAGTCTCAGTTGGCGTCAAAAGTGGCAACCTCGTCTACGTCATACGCAAAGGTGCCTACCAGTGACGTCACACATTTACCACCAGGACCTCATACACAACAGCGAATCGTATCGAGGGGAAACGAAGCAACGTACCTGCATCCTGTATCCGGTGAGGATGCAGACATTCTCGGACTTCGACACGTGACGCCAGTCCCGGCAACGCAAGAGCCGATATACCCAGAATACCCTAGTGAAATAGTACATGGGAACCGAACCTATCCCCAACCATTGACAAGAGAAGCTAGCCATATTCCGTCAAGCGGAAGACAAACTTTTCCGACATCTCCTCTTCGAACACCGGAAAATGAAGCAAACAGACGACAACTATGTAAAAGCCTTTCTCTAAGATCTCCGACAGACATGCCCTCCAGGCAATCGGGTCCGCGACCTCTTCCAAATCCGCCTTCTGCCGTAATAAAGGACTTCGTGACGGAGCAGAATTACAACACAGCGGCCCCTTACAGAAATAGTCGTTCAGCCCCTGTTGCATGCCGGGACACGTCGGACGTGCTTCAGCCTCGTTTTCAGAGACAGTTAAGCTCGGACAGGACGGTTGTCTGGGAATGTCGCTACTGCACATTGGAAAATTCGAACGCAGCATTGGTATGTTCAAGCTGTGGGAAGTCCAAGACGAGAACCAACAATAGTGAGCAAGATTTCACAACAAGAAAATGTCTAATTTGTACTTTTGATAATCTTCCTGATGCCTCTAAGTGTAATGTGTGCGAGTCTGACCAATTAGCAGGTGTGCAGTCTGCAGTATAGGTTTAAATATTTATAACATTTAATACAATTTATTATTTCACGCGAGATGTTTTTGTCCCGTCCGCTGCAACATCCCGTAACCGCGTTGTGTGATGCGCACTTTTTATGTACTCAGTTCATTCCCCAAACGGTTCGATTTTCGATGATCGTAAAGTGAAACTTTAATGAATATTAATTTCACCAAGGTCTCAATGAATATTAATTTCACCAAGGTCTTAATGAATATTAATTTCACCAAGGTCTAACATAGAACACTACTATAGTATTCGAATCATTGAAACTAGGAGGGAATTGCTTTTAAAATAGTTTATTCATTGGATGCTTCTAGGATAACGGCGACCGCATACGGTTATACTAATTTAGTTATTTTGCTTTTTAAACGGAAAGCGTTGCTTAATATTGAGCGAAATAAACAGAAATGTATTCGGAAAAGGTGAAAATCTATTCTGTGAGTGGACGTCTCGACGAATCATGGAGGTAACTATAGGTGCCTGGTGCGGTTTTTAAAAACTGTAATTCTGTCACATATTGGTACTTGAGTGTTCCGGACGGGTTCGAATACATTTGTCTCCATGCGAGTTTAAATTTGATACAAACTTTAAAAATCAGAAAACAGACGTGTTATATGTATATGTGGCTGTTTATGGGTTAATTGGTGATATGCGCAGTCTTTCAAAAGTTGGAATTAAACTTACGCGTCAACAAGATCTCTGTTCAGCCAATTTGTGATACCAATATTTCTGTTCAATGTGACATTGAAAATAAGAAATTACGGAGTCTTTATTCGTTGGGATTTCTGTTAAGCACAATATACACAAGTTTATATTACATTTTCCGATTTACAATTATCAACCAATTTGGTGATACAAATTTATTTGTTCAGCAATTTTGTGTTTTCCAGTTTTCTCATAATCCATGCATCCATCGTTTTAACATTCAGGCATCTCTTTAGCCTATTTTTTGACATTGATATCTCTGTTCAGATCCTTTATGACTAATGAATCGCCAGTTACGGTGCTGATTGAAGAATTGTCGACCCTAGTTACAGTAAGGGAATGTAAAAGTCCTCGAGTTGTTTCTACATCATGTACGTTAACAAGTTTTTGTTTTTCAGTCTCCATCACGAGTACATTATTTGTGTGATGTGACTGAGAAATCTCAACCGTATACACTAGCGTTCTTATTTGTGTAGTTCGAGGCTGGCTTAAAACCGAGGGTAAGACAAATAAGAATCACGATAAGAGGGTTGAGGTTTTTCTGGCATATTTTCACCGTAATTTTTTGTAAAAGTTGATATTTTCTATCTTAATTTACACATCTCCTGTAAAAAGTTGACTGTGTCGTCCTATTTCATTCATTTTGATTTTGTTATGACGTCACACGTCATTGTATCAGTTTTCATATCCTAGGGGATGACAGAGAAAATGATACCCGCTGAAGTGACAAATAGAATCCTACCCTACCTTGAGGGTGTGACAGAAAAATGTCCAACCCTTGGGATGATATTCTCGAATGTCTTACCCTCCGCTTTGATTGAGTTTCTCCCATCCTGTTTCACTCACAAATCCGCCGACAAGCGGGAATTGCATAAAATGTAAGATTTGGTAACATGTTTTTCCAGCAAATCCAGAGTTGTCTTTCATGGTCTACTACTGTTGACGTGACGTCATTACATTGCTTACGTGACGTCATTCTATTTATATGACTTAATTAGCGCCCTGCTGCACGAGGTTTTCTCCCCCAGGGATGACTAATATAATCTTCCTCTACTTTGAGGGTGTGACAAATAAATCTCCAACCCGAGGGGAGATTTTTGGTTGTCTTACCCGAGGCTCAGTCGAGGGTTAGACAATCAAAACAAATCACCTCGAGGGTGGAGATTTCTCTGTTACAACCTTAAGGTAGGGGATTATTATTTTTCTCCCATCCTATTATTTCAGTCACAACTCCACCGACAATAGTGTAAACAAAAACACATGTGGGGTATGAAAATCGTCATTCACTGTTGATGACGTCACAATTACCGGTGACACATTTTAATGACGCCACAATTGAACATGTGCTAATCGGCACGGGGCTATCTCCCCCTAGGGGATGACAGGCTGATCTTTCCCGGCTAAAACGGGAGTCACATGTGAAGGGTGGGAGAAAAGCTGATCTTTTCCAGCTTTAAAGGGAGACACACCTGTGAAGGATGGGATAAAGTGAAATTGTGAATGGGCGAAACAAGACTAATTAAATCATACCATACCTTGAGGACGTAACAGAGAAAGTTTGTGTTGCCTAACCCAAACAATCAACCCTCGTTTTGGAGATTTCTCTGTTACACCCTCAAGGTAGAGGATCATTATTTTTTCTCCATTTACTCCAATTCTATGTGTGTAGACAATACATTTTCACCATTTTGAATCTGTTATCTATCCTGATTTTCACATGACAACTTCAGTCAAAAGCTGTTGGTGACCTCATATTTCATTGTTCCCGTAGCGTCTTAGTGTTGTTTCTTTTCACGTACCTGTTGTTATACCCTATAGGGTGACGAGCAATCATACCTTTAGAGTTGACAGGGAAACTATTACCCTCGAGTTGACAAGGATGATACCATACCCTTGGGGTGACGGGGCTACCATACCCTATTGGGCGAGAAATCGCATCAAATTTAGTGACCGAAGAATTTGGAACTGGTAAAAAGGGAGATAACTTTGAATTGTGGGAGAAAATCCAGTGAATTATTCAAACTCTTGATCTTATTTAGATTTCTGTTCAAACTCTTCCTGTTATTGAAACATTTTAGTCTCTTTATAACATTTATTCAGTCGCTTTTGTTATTAAAATGTCTGTTCTGTTCCGCCTGTGATCCTAAGATCGCTCTTAAATCTCTGTGACAGAGAAAACTTACTAGATCTCCATACGTCTCCAAAACAGTATCTATTGAGCCTCTTTTTGAAATTGTGATATTTGTTCGGCCTCATTGTGACAATAATTGAATCCTGATAGCCTCTTTATCATCCTTGATATACTAGATGATTCGCTAAATTACGCTGTCTTTATCCCTGAAATATGTCAAACATGTAGCAAAATTGAAAAGCACGCGGATAGCTGTTTGATTGGTCTGGGATAAAAACAACAACACGTGACCAGTCGCTAGGCTGATACCTGTTCATTGAAGACTACAGAGGCGCAACTCTATGCTAAGTCAACTTTTATCGTTTCGCGGCCGCGATATTCCTTTGATGTACTTCAAAGAATCAAGCTTGTCCTCTTATCTCATCTTTCAAAGTGGCACACATCAAACCTTCAATTTTGTCATGAAATCTTGCAGGCGTGTAGAGAGCGTAAGTGAACGTAACCCCTTGAGTATTAATGATGCCACTTTGTAGAGAAGAGTAAACATCTCTGCCACACCACCCGATCCTCTCATCGAAACATGATCTCTTGAATAGGCCTTAACAAAAACTTTGACATGGAAACTTTATCTTTGGTCGAAAATTAAGTTTTTTTTGTGTGTGTTGAACAGCTAACTTTTAACCCTCGCCTCAAGATCCGTTCCGTAAGCCCCCATTGTTTGCTACATGTATGTACATCCCTCACACGTCATAACGTCTGTTCTTTTTTGTTTTAAATAAAACTTTACAGCAAAATTTTTAATTATTTTGAATTTTGAATTGTGGTTTAGATATGCCTATATTTTACATAATAAACTATTGAAAGCTGTACTGATGCTGTTTCGACGTCGTATTGTCTGAAGTGCATGTACATACTGGCTACACAACAATCGTTTGCTGGCTGGAAAGTTGACTTTGGAAGCGACAGGTGAGCTTTTTCGACGATTATATTTGCTTTGTTTATTGTGGTTTACATTTACAGTTAAGGACATTTAAGGACGTCCCTTCATGTATGTAATTTATAAGTTTGTCCTAGAGGCGTCTGTTAGTGCTTTTGCCTCCTTGTGATAGTACAGATCTGATGCCGACTTGAGAGTGCTACTTCACTGAAACATTATGTCAAGGTCACCCAGTACAATATTCCTGTTGGTCATATTTTACTGACAACGGATAAGCTAGTCGTTCAGCTGTAATAACAATTACAACTTCCATGGACTTTTAATATGCCCTGTCAAACGATTACATATACATGAAAACAGCTATGGGGATTTAATCAAAATGACGTCACATCGTTTGCACTATGGCGCTATCTTTGACACTTAATTTAGATTACATATACCTGAAAACAGCTATTGGGATTTAATCAAAATGACGTCACTTCGTATGCACTATGGTGCTATCTTTGACACTTAATTTAGATTACATATACATGAAAAAAGCTATGGGGATTTAATCAAAATGACGTTACATCGTATGCACTATGGTGCTATCTTTGACACTTAATTTAGATTACATATACATGAAAAAAGCCATGGGGATTTAATCAAAATTTCGTCACAACGTATTCACTATGGTCCTATCTTTGACACTTAATTTAGATTGCATATACATGAAAACAGCTATGGGGATTTAATCAAAATGACGTCACATCGTATGCACTATGGTGCTATCGTTGACACTTAATTTAGATCACATATACATGAAAACAGCTATGGGGATTTAATCAAAATGACGTCACATCGTCTGCACTATGGTGATATCTTTGACACTTAATTTAGATTACATATACATGAAAACAGCTATGGGGATTTAATAAAAATGACGTCACATCGTATGCACTATGGTGCTATGGTTGACACTTAATTTAGATCACATATACAAGAAAACAGCTATGGGGATTTAATCAAAATGACGTCACATCGTATGCACTATGGTGCTATCTTTGACATTTAATTTAGATTACATATACATTAAAACAGCTATTGGGATTTAATCAAAATGACGTCACATCGTATGCACTATGGTGCTATCGTTGACACTTAATTTAGATCACATATACATGAAAACAGCTATAGGGATTTAAACAAAATGACGTCGCATCGTATGCACTATGGTGCTGTCTTTGACACTTAATTTAGATTGCATATACATGAAAACAGCTATGGGGATTTAATCAAATTGACGTCCCTTCGTCTGCACTATGGTGCTATCTTTGATACTTAATTTAGATTACATATACATGAAAAAAGCCATGGGGATTTAATCAAAATTACGTCACTTCGTATGCACTATGGTACTATCTTTGACACTTAATTTAGATTGCATATACATGAAAACAGCTATGGGGATTTAATCAAAATTACGTCACATCGTATGCACTATGGTACTATCTTTGACACTTAATTTAGATTACATATACATTAAAACTGCTATTGGGATTTAATCAAAATGACGTCCCATCGTACGCGCTATGGTGCTATCTTTGACACTTAATTTAGATTACAATGACATGAAAACAGCTATGGGGATTTAATCAAATTGACGTCCCTTCGTCTGCACTATGGTGCTATCTTTGATACTTAATTTAGATTACATATACATTAAAACTGCTATTGGGATTTAATCAAAATTACGTCACATCGTATGCACTTTGGTGCTATCTTTGACACTTCATTTAGATTACAATTACATGAAAACAGCTATGGGGATTTAATCAAATTGACGTCCCTTCGTCTGCACTATGGTGCTATCTTTGTCACTTAATTTAGATTACAATGACATGAAAACAGCTATGGGGATTTAACCAAAATGACGTCACATCGTATGCACTATGGTGCTATCTTTTACACTTAATTGTTTTCTCATTTTTAATTTTGAGACTTATCGCAAAAAACAAGATGGTTGTGAGTTTGTTATCGTTATTTAAAAGAAAGTAACGGAGGGAGTTTTCCAAATTTTGTGGTTAAGCTCCTTAAATTTTGAGACTGATATGAAGAACAAGATGGCTTCCAAGCGTCGCAAAGTTTTGTTTATACAAGTCATATACGCGACTAACTGAAAATGTTCACCAACTCGAAGCAGGTGTATCCAATGAGTCGGGAGAGAGGAAACCCATAGTGGTTAGGGTGGAATTTGGGTGTAAAAAATACGTTCTCACGTTCGTCTGATACGGAATATTAAAATAAAATGTCCGAGATCTTACATGTGCATCAATTGTACAAAAAACAAACAACTGCTTGAACGTAAAATGTTTATAATATCAAATATTAACTAAAGAAAAAAGAAAAAGAACAAAAGAATATAAAAATAAAGCTAATTTGTTAAAAAAAAAAAAGGATCTACTCGAATAAATTCGTTTCCGCAGAGATCTGAATAAGATTACCAATTGAATCACCAACACAAGCTATCCAAAAGGTCAAAAGGTTTCAGTATACATGTTTGGACTTATCCTTATGTGAAGAGAGTTTTGTTAGACGTTCTAGGGGTTCATCCTCGATATCCAGGAGCTACACTCACTTTCGCGCTCTTCACCCCTGGAATCGTCCTCGATATCCCGTAGCTACACTCACTTTTGCTCTCTGCATCCCTGGAATCGTCCTCGATAACCAGGAGCTACACTCAATTTCGCTTTCTACACCTCTGGAATCGTCCTCAATATCGAGGAGCTACACTCACTTTTGCTATCTACACCCATGGAATCGTCCTCGATATCCAGGAGCTCCACTCGCTTTCGCTCTCTACACCCCTGGAATCGTCCTCAAAATCCAGGAGCTACACTCACTTTCGCTCTCTACACCACTGGAATCGTCCTAGATATCCCGGAGCTACACTCACCTTTGCTTTCTACACCCCTGGAATCGTCCTCAAAATCCAGGAGCTACACTCACTTTCGCGCTCTTCACCCCTGGAATCGTCCTCAAAATCCAGGAGCTACACTCACTCTTGCTCTCTACACCCCTGGAATCGTCCTCGATATCCAGGGGCTACACTCACTTTTGCTCTCTGCACCCCTGGGATCGTCCTCAATATCCAGGAGCTACACTCACTTTTGCTCTCTGCACCCCTGGAATCGTCCTCAATATCCAGGAGCTACACTCACTTTTGCTCTCTACACCGCTGGAATCGTCCTCGATATCCAGGAGCTACACTCACTTTTGCTTTCTGCACCCCTGGAATCGTCCTCAATATCCAGGAGCTACACTCACTTTTGCTCTCTACACCACTGGAATCGTCCTCGATATCCAGGAGCTACACTCAATTTCGCTTTCTACACCTCTGGAATCGTCCTCGATATCCTGGAGCTACACTCACTTTTGCTTTCTACATCCCTGGAATCGTCCTCGATATCCAGGAGCTACACTCAATTTTGCTTTCTACACCTCTGGAATCGTCCTCGATATCCTGGAGCTACACTCACTTTTGCTTTCTACATCCCTGGAATCGTCCTCGATATCCAAGAGCTACCCTCACTTTTGCTCTCTGCACCCCTGGAATCGTCCTCGATATCCAGGAGCTACCCTCACTTTTGCTCCCTGAACCCCTGGAATCGTCCTCGATATCCAGGAGCCACACTCAATTTTGCTTTCTACACCCCTGGAATCGTCCTCGATATCCCGGAGCTACACTCACATTTGCTTTCTACATCCCTGGAATCGTCCTCGATATCCAGGAGATACACTCACTTTCGCTCTCTACACCCCTGGAATCGTCCTCGATATCCAGGAGCTACGCTCACTTTCGCTCTCTACACCCCTGGAATCGTCCTCGATATTAAGGAGCTACACTCACTTTCGCTCTCTGCACCCCTGGAATATGCCATAGCAAAATTGAAGGCTTAGTGTGTACCACCTTGGCTTGTTGATGAGACAAGAAGACTAGTTTGATACTTTGATGTACATCAGAAGAATTTGTCGGTCGCGTGACGGCAAAAGTTACTGGCTTTGAAGTCGGGTGCTGGTCCTCTTCAGTCTTGAAAGAACATGTATCAGCCAAGTGATTGGTCAGGTTGTTTTACATGACACCATTCAAATAGCTAGCAGTGTGGCTTCACATTTTGCTATGCATATTCCAGGAGTGTTAAGAGCGAAAGTGAGCGTAGCCCCTTGATATCGAGGATGTAGGGGTTTAGATAGATTCTCGCTAAAATACGTCCCCTAATTGTCACCAGTATTTATCTGAACCCCCAAAACGAATTATGATATACTTACTTACACACACCCACACAAGAATGGGTCCTAACACACAACTCGTAACTTATTCTTATGTCCCTGTGAACATATCCAAAATATAAAATATACACACGATAATAAAACTCAGCATTATACAAAATATATAAATTATGAAAATGTATATGCATATTTTCTTCAGACAAGTGTGTCGCTGTTTACGAAGGCACATCAATCAAATGTATCTGACATGGAACACAAAAATAACCTCTCCAGCAACAAGACATCACGTATACCGTCAAACTTCGATATCATGACAGTCGAGTAATTTGTCATCTTGATAATGTATAATATATTCCAATGCCCCCCCCCCCCCCCCCCCCCCCCCCCCCCCCCTTAACAACTACTTTATACTTATGTCAAAGCAGTTTTATACAAATAATGTAAATGAGTTATAATAATATCACAAAACTGATATAGTACATACATAACTTTAACATTTTCCAATTTGCTTTTACTAAAATGCCAAATTCACAGAGAATATGGATAGTGTCAAATACAAAAGGCACTAAGCACGTCAGAGAACAATTGTTCAACCCTTTAACCCCTATGTAACTTTAGTAGACTCAACGATGCATTGATCTGGATGAGTCCATTATGGTCTACAGTGATAAAAGGGTTAAACACACATTTATATGACACTGTATGTTATAATTTGTTATGGAGAACATTCTAATTAGATACTTTTCGTTCACCCAGTTCCACTATACTGTACCTAGTTTACGATTTTACCTTATTGCACCAGAGGTCACGCTAAGACGGCACAATTCTATGAATAAGCAGATGCCCAAGCTCCAACATTCTCGAAATTCCAGGAGCTACAATCTCTGTGTTCTCTGCACCACTTGACACAAGAAGACCAGTTTCATTTTTGTATGTGCATCAAATGATAACGAGCAAACGAATCGGCAAAGTTGATAGGCTTCGATAAATATGTGGTCACGATCCCTATTCATTTAAATTTTGACACTTTATATGCCGATTGTCCCAACTCTGTGCTTAGACAATACGAACAATTTGTTTCTCCACATGCCTATAGATCGCGAAGTTAAAATCTGTGTACATTAAATTTTCTAATTTTTGGATCAAAATCTAGTCCCGCGTAAATAACCCACTATACAGAACTTCAATCCGTCAATCAGTTGTTCAGGCCTGAAATTCTGAACACCCACGCCCATTTACAAACTATTTTGCTGATTGAGATTGGGGGTATTCTGATCAACATTCCGGTATTGTGACCCGGTAGCGGTATCCAGTCTAGTTTTGCTGGGTATCCAATCAAATCCACTTTGGTTTTTGACGTAGGTTCCGGTGAGCCGAGAACAAATTCATCTTCTTTCGGCCAATCCAAAACGATCGCATACACCACTGTTCCATTGGTTGACTTCTGGGATGTGTACCTGTGGGAAATACCGCATGCGATCTAAGTCAATCAAACGCTTGTCTATAAGTGTTATTTACAGTTTTATGTTTTTTTATGTTTTACTCGAAATCCATTTAACATAAATATTAAAATGACATGATGAAAAAACATATCTAAGGTACAGAAACATCATTATGATATACTGGATAATTTCCTGCATTCCCATTGGCCGAATCCTATGTACATTACCAGTTCCGTGTATATATACTTCTAAATATAGCCTTCAAGGGACTACCCTTCTCCTATACCTAATATGTATTTGAAAGGTTTATTATATCTTTGATTATCTTAAAACATGAAGACTGCATTATATTTATGATATTGATAAAGTTCAAGGAAATAGAGTAATACAAGATGCCTGAAGGGCCTTATAGCCTACCGGATATTTTAGTAATTATGACAAATTATCTCATTAAAAAGTCAAATAAGTCTTCAGGGGAAGGGCTAATCGGGGTAGCATGATAGTGTTCGTATTTTCATGTTCATTATGCACATTTAAGGTAATAGGTTGGTGATCTGAACCGCTTCTATGTGTAACTTATAACTTAGGGACTAATACACTAATTATAAACATATATATGTTATATTGTGGGAATTTCAACGTTTAAACGCAGGAACTAAGTCCAAAGGGGCAGGGCAAGACTCTGTGGCTAGTTCTGATAGCATGGTTGTATATATGGCTATGGGACGTTGTTCTACTTGGTTTAATCTAGCCCGAGGAAGTACAGGTCAGAAAGTCAAATCCAAGGTGTGTGTAACTGGGCTTATTTCAATCGGTATATTCATAGATGTGCAGTGAGGGTTACGACTAACTAGGAAGCATACGTAAGGAGCAGTCAACTTCAAAGTGTGCATGGAGGCGCTGGTGAACCCAGGATCACTCATGTATGTAATCTGAAGTCTCAAATGACCGGCTATGCATGTTCCAATAAAATTTATTATGACGGGTTTATGGAACTTATGATAGATGACGGCTGAAGGCAATGCTATCATCCTTGTACATGGACTATGTGGGTATAAATATAATCTAGCTAGGACATACTTTTATTACGGCTAGAGGATGGCTAGAGTACAGCTAGAGACAGCTCAAGTACAACTTTAGTACAAACCTAGGACAACTTTAGTACAGACCTAGGACAACTTTGGTACAGACCTAGGACAACTTTGGTACAGACCTAGGACAACTTTAGTATAGACCTAGGGCAACTTTGGTACAGACCTAGGACAACTTTAGTACAGACCTAGGACAACTTTAGTACAGACCTAGGACAACTTTGGTACAGACCTAGGACAACTTTAGTACAGACCCAGGACAACTTTAGTACAGACCCAGGACAACTTTAGTACAGACCTAGGACAACTTTAGTACAGACCTAGGACACCTTTAGTACAGACCTAGGACAACTTTAGCACAGACCTAGGACAACTTTGGTACAGATCTAGGACAACTTTAGTACAGACCCAGGACAACTTTAGTACAGACCTAGGGCAACTTTGGTACAGACCTAGGACAACTTTGGTACAGACCTAGGACAACTTTGATACAGACCTAGGACAACTTTAGTACAGACCTAGGGCAACTTTGGTACAGACCTAGGACAACTTTAGTACAGACCTAGGACAACTTTAGTACAGACCTAGGACAACTTTAGTACAGACCTAGGACAACTTTAGTACAGACCTAGGACAACTTTGGTACAGACTTAGGGCAACTTTAGTACAGACTTAGGGCAACTTTAGTACAGACCTAGGACAACTTTAGTACAGACCTAGGACAACTTTGGTACAAACCTAGGACAAATTTGGTACAGACCTAGGGCAACTTTGGTACAGACCTAGGACAACTTTGGTACAGACCTAGGACAACTTTGGTACAGACCTAGGACAACTTTGGTACGGCTCGGGTACGACGGAGAGCGATACGAACACTTGAGGTTACCAGAAATAAACTTCCATCCGACCATCAACACTTTGATCACTCGTGTTTTGTTACATTGGAAATCTCATTCTCATTTCTATGTAATTACCAAAGGAATGGGTTCCTAGCGGCACCAAGAAAAACCTTCACGCTCAGCCATTGTATAAGTATATGGTTATATGGTGGAGATCCCAACAGCGTTTCCATCTGATACCCAAGGGATAAGTCCCCAAAGAGTCATTCAAACGCCTAATAGACATACAAATAGACAGGCATCCAGCGGACTGTATTGACATGTTATGTAGCCTAACACCTACCTAGACGAAGCATAATCGTGGGTACTGAGGACAATATCACCTATTTTCCAATAATTTCCTCCCACGTGACTTACACCATGGTCCAGGCGGATGGCGTCGTTAGCCAGTCACGTTACTTATCAGAATTGGGATTTCAGGTGACGTTTGCCCGCCACGTGACTTACCATACTCCGGAAGTGACGGTGTCGTTTTGGTGAGTCCATGGGACACTAGTGTATATCGCTTCCCCGTTGAGGTCAAGCCAGCTTCCCAACTGTCTGAGACGTTCCTCAAAAATCGGAATGATCCGCCCGTCATATGTTGGGCCAACATTGATTAGAAGGTTTCCCCCACAGCTGTAATAGAATATCCCTAATACAACCAAGGCACAATAGTTTCGTCTTGATCACTGAGGTTCGATTCTGCTTATAATACAATAGGAACAAAATATATGTCGATGATTCATCTAAAGAAGGAAAAATACGGAAAGGGAATCAGCCATGTTTTGATAACGTTATTTCAAAAAGGATACGTTTTTGAGGTTTTGCACTCTAGTGATAACCTCAGAGCACATGATAAGAAGTAAAATTGCCTGTTAAATGTACCTGAAACAATATGTACTAAGGCTAACTGTACCAATAAGTTAAACTATATTATTCCTTTTCAAAAGGAGTATTCCATACAAATCGTTTTTTGTGATACCTGCATAGTCCGACTTTGATTTATTTGAAAATATAAGTGATAAAAAAACCCAGAAAAAATCATTGGTCGAACTCAGGATATTATATTGCAAAGTCTACACTTCAGCAATGATACCATACAGATATTATAAATGCACAGAATCAAAATGAATGTCCTCTTTAATGACCGGGAAAGCCTATATATTTAAACAAAGAACATGGAAACATACAAATAACTTAGCAGGGGAAGTTACCTCTTATGAAGAAACACTCTATTTGGCCGCTTTATCCACGCTATACAAGTGAGAATACTTCAAGTAAAAAAAAAAGACCGACACTGGAACTCTTCTAGGCGATTACAACTATGCAGTGGCAGTACTCTTAACCCGTGACGTCCTTAAATGACCCTAGCTGTTGATAGTACGTTACACCATGTATAACCAACCTTTAGCAATATCTTAACGTACCTGATTGTTTCCGCCAAGGTTTTCAGGAGTTCCTCTATGGACAAGTAGTCAATGAGGCTGGCAGGACGACGGTAGCCCCACGAGCCTTTATCGAGAGTCATACAGTTTTCCCATTTGTGTTTCTGAAGAACTTCTGTAAGTGAAAACCATGTTAATTTAGTGTATAATGCAATTCTACAATCCCACCACGAATTATATCAATACTGGATAGGACAGCGGAAACAAAATCCGCAATAACATGACGTTTGATGAATAAAAAAAAAGTTTGTAAAAGAGAAGTTGAAAAGCTGAAACTGTAAGCCAATCAGACAAGAGGATGCGATCTCGAATGATGTTCACGGTATAACGTGAACAGTTTAAACTGCCCGAAAGTGGTGAGTTTTGGCCTATTGTTAAGAGATATGTTGTTATCTGGGTGGTTTTTTTGTACAAAATAGCTCTAGCCGTACTTGTTGATACAATTCCAGCAGCCACCATGTTTACAGGGCGTGGAACTTACTTGGGTTGTTCATGTAGTTGTTATTGCGTTTTCAGAAGCTACCATGTTTACATGGAGTGAAACACACTTAGGTTGTATTTGTTATAACGATTCCAAAAGCCACCACGTTTACAGGGCGTGAAACTTACTTGGATTGTACTTGTCATTACAATTCCAGAAGCCACCGTGTTTACAGGGCGTGTTCTTTCCCCATCTGTCATTAACCACCACGGTGTCCTTTACCGGACTGTCAAACGAAAACTTCATCTATTACATTAACCATACATGTATATATTGATGTTTTTTTTATATGTATATTTATTTATTACCCCTTTGAGAAAAATCTAGGAATCTGATTGGTTAAAAACTACAGTGTACCAAACCGCATTCGTAAATCTCAAGGGGTATACGAAAATCTCAGGGGGTATACGGTCATGCTACGTGATTTTCGGCAGTAATACGGTGGAATCACGTGCTTTTACAAGGGGGTATACGGGTCACGTGTCTTTGTATCTTGCGGCCAGGCAATGGGAGACAACTCGCATTCGTCGTCTGCTTCCGGTGATGTTTACAAAATGACAAAACGTTTCGCTTCGCATACTGATGAGGAAATACTCGCCAAAAGGGCTAACTATGTGCCACAAAACACACAAAAGTCGAACAGACGAGCGGCAAACATGCTGAGGACGTATTTAAAAGAAAAGAATCAGGAAGAACAGTTCGAGGAATTTGATAAAACGAAACTAAATGAGGTAGATCTACTGTGCCATTTTTATCTTGACAACAGAAAAGTTGACGGGGAANACCCTGCCAAAAATCCGTGTAACTAATATTATGCCCTTCCTATTTTCCAAGTTGAGCCTGCATCATCTGGTCACATGACCATGGTTTCCTTGACGTCAGTGTTAGCAACCACTCTCACCGAAACGATAGTCGCCATCTGGTTGTTGCCGTTTGGTTCATTGCAGACAATGAAGACATCCAGAAAAGGAAGGTAAGCTCTTACTTTTGTAACTAGAATGTTCTGCACATATAGTTAAAGCATGCCTAGCTACATTTTTTAATGGCGACCGTTGTTTGAAAAGTTTTCGGTCCGATAATGGCCGTCTGCGGCTGTTCCAAGAATTAGGTCAGTGAGATTGTGCGGTTGCAGGGAATATCAATTAAGCTCATCCGACTAAATAGTAAAAGATAGGTCGTATGAGGAAATGTAAATATATCCATTGAACGATTGAATTTGACAGACGTTTAATCCTTAAGTAAAATCTTAAGTGCAAAATTTGCTGTGGTAGTCGATACTGCCAAACTTCCTATTTTACGATCCTCATTTTTCGCGGATTCGGAAAAGTGGTCAATTTCGCAAGAGCTATTTTAAAGGTCTAGTGGTTATTGCAGAAAGTACTAACGTAAGGACGGATTAATTTGCTATTACTTTTGCTGGTTGTACTTTTTAGCGGATATATTGTTACCACGAAGATAAGAACCGCGCATATTTGTTTTACAGTAACTCGTTACGGTACTATAGCTGTATGATCAAAATGGTAGGATTTCATTACCTGTTGTTATAAAGCCAGGCCAAGAAGTTTGTCGAGTTCCAGTAGGTATCCTTAGCCTCCCAAGCTCCATCTGACCAAATCACATCCGGTTTGTATTTGTTCACGAGTTCGTAGAGTTCTGGCATCGTCTTCGTCTGTTAATTAAATAATGCTTATAAAATATTTATTCGGAATGTTTTAAGGCGAAATGTATCAAGAAGATGCGATCATTTTGAATAAAATATATGAGGAAGGACTTAGTGATATTTTTTTTAACACATGAGCTATATTCTACAGTAAATACTCTTCAAAGTTAATTGATTATATACTTTCACTTCAAAATGATAAAAAATATATATAAATTTTGCATTATCTTCGTTAGAAACACCCATATATTTCCATATTTTACACTGTATTTCCCCAACTCTCTTCTAACTTCCCCTGTAATTTATTCACGTCATTATTCCAAAATTATAGTTGATAATGTTGGTTACGATGAAAGGTAACAGATTTATATAAGTGTATTAACACTTGTTTCTGTCTCCAATTCATTTGTGTATTATCATATTTGTATTATGTATTACATATGTTATGTGAATAAAACAAAGTTTAAACTGAAGTTAATTGATTATATACTTTCACTTCAAAATAATAAAAAATATATATAAATTTTGCATTATCTTCTTTAGAAACACCCATATATTTGCATATAAATTGATTTTTTTCCAGTGGTGGTCGCCTTTCACTTTAGTTATATAAGTTGTAACACGAGATATTCCGAACGTACTTCGTACTTCGACATTCGGACAGATTGAACTTGACTTAAACACCATAATAATAAAATCAAAACACATATGCAAATGTACAAACAGAAAATTGGCAGATGCTATCGTCGCCTGATGAAATTAGACGTGGTCTTATATTGACGTCATACTAACAAATTTCGATGTAAGTTACAATTTGTGAAATCGACATCGTAACTTAGGAAAAATTCACGTTAATTTAACAAACAGCAGCGCTGTACACGTTGAAAAAAAGACCAGCTTTGTTCTGTCTCCAAAACGTGAGGATGTTTTTCGTTATATTTCTGTTTATGCATGGGTTTTATTTAAATAGAGTGCACTTATTGCACGCGCATGTAAAAAAAAAAAAAACTGCGTGCGTACAATAATGATGGTATTCCATAGTGATTTACCAATGAAAACCACCATAAGGGTAACTGCACCTCCTGTTTAACGATCAACACCGTTGATGCTAAACACTGTTATAAACACATATGTAAAAACATAATGTTAACGGTAAATTCCCATAAGACACTTTATCATTATATATACATATAATTAGAAACGTATGTTTATAGGATACGAATTACTTAACATCGGTTGTCAAATGTTCGGCCTAATCAGCTCCTTTATCGAGAATCAGAAAAACAAAAATGACTTAAATGACATAAAAACAAAACAGAAAATTTTATATGATATAACTTATATTTAAAAAAAAGTAATAAGCCCCTGGCTAACGTAAGCCGTAAATTCCGCCTTTAGCTCATGCCAGCTGGGGGGTCAACTGCTACACCGAATTTGCATTTATGCAATGTAAGTGCTCTGTGCCCCTCTGAGTCTCGACAAAGGAGGGGATCGCTCCGAATACTTGAAAACTTCACATCCTTACTGTCTACACTATTGTTATTCTGATGTATGTTTTCACCTTGACGAAATCCTGGGTTTTGTACTTATTGGCCTTGTCATATAGGTACAGAGGGTTGTAGAACTCGTACAAGGAGTGATAGACCCCAAACTTCATCCCCGGCTGTTTTCTTACAGCTGCCGCTAGATCTCCTACAGGTATAACAACAGAAAACGCATTGAAAAAGACCAAGTGATTCCACATCTATTTAATGAGAAATAAATAGTATAAAACGGCATAGTTTTGATAATGAGAAAATTATAGCAAATGAAAGGTAAAGGATTGTTGATTTGTAGCAATATGATGATGATATAAGGAATTAAAACAAGGACAATTCAAAAAGACAAAGAAACATTCCTGGATGTTGAGTGGATGATCAACAGGGATGATTGTGGAAGAAATAACCAACCGGGATGGTTGATGGGGTTTAAAGGAATGAATTTCAGTTAGATTGTTTGCCAATGTTATCCCCCCCCCCTTTTTTT